AGCGAAAATAAAGTATTCCACAGTATCAGCAATGGATATAGAAAATACTGATTGTAAGAATTCACTCTACAAATTACGGAAAACAAGAGGTGGCAGGTTGGAGGGGGGGGGGGGGTATTAAACCAAAACTACGTAGTATTCAACATTGTATGTGAGTAAGATAACAAATATCAGTGGTAACAGTTGAGACAGTTTGATAACTCTGAGAGAAACCAATAACAGTGTATATAGACTTGGAGGCTATTTAATTAACCAAGCACCATTCTAAAACAACCTGTTCACATTACAATTATGAAAAACACAAGATGGCATAACTTTAGGCTAAAACAATCAGTTTTTGTTAAATTTTTGTTCACACAGAAAAACTACTGTAGATCTTCCAAGTTCTAAGGGGAAACAAGTCATTTACAAAGGGCCTATTTGTAATTTCCACCACTAAAAATCTTAAGTGGACTGGACCCATATAGAGTAAACTTTTTTTTAGTTACTGTGATAAAATATTCACTGCAATTGTTGTGTATAAGGTAAAGCAATTTTCATACCCATAAATTACAGAACACAGACAGGTTAATGATTGCAATGACTTTGCAGTCCATTTAAAGGAAACCATTAGCTGGAACAATTTAATTAAACCGACTACTAAATTATACCGTTCAACAATCAGGCTTGAGAAGCAAGTATATCTAAAGTGAGAAAACAGTGGCCAACTACAAACTGCCATACCATTTATAGTTTCATGCTGAGAACAATAATGTGTGTAACAGGTCCCTAAAACTGGGGCGCGGATTGACACATTTTTTCCCTCCTTTGTACTGAAACCTAAGCCCCTTAAATCTGACACTTGCCATTCATGAGTAAGGGCGTAAACAACTCATTAAGAATACTAAACCTTTTCAGGCACACCATAGTACAATTAAGTTATTAAACAGGGCTTTGTTTTTTTTTGCATCAGTTATTTCCCCCCTTATTGTCTCTGGGTTGAATTGGGAAGTGACAATTAAATGACTTAACTTCCTAACCCATTGTGGGTTTTTTTCTTTCCCACAATCGTAAAATTCAATTGGATGAAATCACATGGGGTGACGAAACAAAGTCTACACAGGAATTTTAAAATAGAACTGTTACAAAACAACACCAATACATATGAACCATACAAAATTCCACTGCATCGCAGAGAAACTGTGTGCTTTCAACCACATACGAGACATGACTTCAGTCTAAGTTTCAAAAGGTTAAATAAGTAGAGTACATCATACTAAATCTGAAAATCTGACATTAGGATCTAGCTGTATTTGAAGTCTGGTGGCAACCCTGGAATCTAGTGCTAAAATACCAAACATAACTGCTGCTTCGATTACACAGCGACAATAATACCGCCAGCAAACAGAAAGCACAAAATACAACATTCCCAAGCTGTGGATTAAGTTAGTAGCATATAGTTAAAAATAGGTGTTCATCGGCATGGTGAATGATTCTGTGGAATGCTGCGATTTACTGAGATGTGCCCCCTTGGACCATGGTACAGTACTCATCAATACTCATTCCAATAGACAAGTAACAACAATAAATCACGGCAAGAGATTTTATTATTAGGTTATATTCCATTGCACTCAATTATCGTATCATAGCGCACCAAATAATACATGTCAAAGGTCAAAATTGCCTTATGGTGATGAGAAAAAAAAAACAGTTGAATAGTATTTTTCAAAATCCACTTTGGCCGTGACATGCAGACACTGCTGGAAAATTCAATTTTGTCACCACATAGTTTATAAGTAGCTTTTGGGGTAGAACAACAAAGAATTCAAACCAGACTTTGACTTTGTCACCAAATAAAGGCTTGACAAGTAACAGGTGTGTGTGCTCTTGGTGACCACTTGACAATGAAAGTGATTTTCATGAACTAGTTAGTAATTTACAACGTCCAACCAGAGAATAAGACATTTATCATTCTAAGGCAATGTGGTCCTAACAGAATCCAATCAACTCGGAACAGAATTTCAGCATTAGAAAAACTATGCACTTTAATATTTTATAAAATACTGTTAGAAACAGTTGCCATGTTAAAGTGTCAAATTTGAAAATAACGTCACAGTGAAATTGCTTGATTCGGGAATAAAAACATATAACAAAAATTCTCAGCACGCATAGTATTTTTACCATTACAGTCAAAGCATTTGGCTCTGCTGGTGTTCACATCGTTTTACACAAGTTAAGACTGTCACAAACAAACAAAATAATACCTCAGAGCTCAATAAAAAAAAAAATGTTGTTTCCTACATAAACAAACTACAAGACGCCGAGTACATACCATTCTTCCTGCCATTCACAATCAGTACGCAGACGAGAACACGGGAGAAAGTTGCTGATTTTTGTTAAAGACACGGACAGAAAGTCAATTTGAAAGCCTCCTTCTCTCGATAGCAGTCGACAGCATCTTTACAGCTACTGAATAGCCAAGTATTACTACGTACGTAATCAATTGAACGCAAGACAATCAAACACCCCGAACCATAACTTATATTTCACTCAAGAGCGACTATAATTTTGATATCCTTTCATTCCAGGCGTCCGCTTTTTTTTGAACACAAAAGATTGCTCCGTTCAGATAGTCTTAAAAAATCTCCACCTTTATACCCAAAACAAAATGGTCTCCTTGAAAAATGTAGCGAAGTAATAGTAGAAGACGAGACACTGGTCATCCATAAACAATGTTATTGTTTTCCCAATCGTCTTTTATGCTAGATGATGAATGGCTGACAAAAAGTTTTGGATCAGTACCAAGTCTGTATGTTGCCTTGATGTGCACGTAAACACTCCACCCCTAGGGCGTGTGCTCTCCCCTTAGGCGGGTTCCTTGCACTATTGAACCATACATCCATCAACCAAGATGCTCGGATTCAACAGAATAATACATTTTAAGTTAACTAAACCAATTTTTAACCACTTGTTGGATTTAATACAAGACAGTATTTGATTTGAACGCCACAATTTTTTGTATTATTCTACATTGCTTTTGTTCATTTTGAAGCAAATAAAAAAATAATTCCTCACTGTTTTTATGTTTTAATTTTTTTTATAAAACATTGCTGTCTTATGAAGGCATAAACAACTTTTTATTATGAAAATTTATAAAATATTTATGAAACATTCATCGGGAAGACTCTCAGGCTTCATTCAAATTAACAGAAGACACTTTTATTGGCTATGGAACACACAGGTCTGTGCTGGTTTATTTCATTCACTGGTCGATTTGATGCCATGTTCGCAAAAAATATTTGGTATGCATCTGCTATGGGTGTCATGATTTGTCAAGTTGTTTTCAATCACTATTTGAAATTTATAAATATTTGTTAAGAAAGTTTATATAGAAAAATAAAGTTGAATTTAGTATTGCAATGTAAGCGGACATTGATGAACTCATTTTGACACATCACTTTTGTAATCGTATATTTAGCTACATGTATTCTCCATGATTTAATATTCAAAAACTGATAGAAAAGAAAAGAAATTTGGAATATGAATACAGACCATTTCCTCATTTCTGAGGTGTAACCAAGATACCATAAATGCAAACAAACAAGCATCTTTTAGTAATTGTACTAAGTGAAATATTCAAAATTTGACATACTCGCCATTTTTTTTTCCAATCAATAAAATATCGCCCTAAGAGTGTGTAATTTTCATCAAACATCACGACACTGATCTAAGTTTGCATTTAAGACGAGAATTTTATTGACATTATTAAACATATGTTTTATCAAAGTACAACCCAACCTATCAAATTACAATTACATTATGTTCGCACTTATATTTGTCAAATATTAACAGCTTTCAATAACTGTACTATATCACAGCTTGCACTCAAATTGAATTTGCCCTCTGGGTAGCTCAGGAAGAACGAGGGAATATTGAAATCAAAATATGTAAAATTATTGGAGCGTAGCTTTCACATCATGCCAACTTCTGCCAGCTGATTATGTTTCATAAGGCCATGTATACCAGAAATTTTGGATTATAAACAATCTCTCAATCTTTCTCAAAATTTACCCATTTATACATATATTTTGCTTTTTGTTGTAAAATTTTTGACAAAAAATGTGTAATTTGAAAAAGTTTCATTTTTGGTGCATTTTATTTTTATATACAGAGCATGCACAGCATGAAGACTGAACAAAAACTTTCTCTTCTGACATCAAAGTAGACAACAATTGTTATAGCAGTTTCCCAATCAGCCTGCTGAATCATGTATTTAGGCTAAATAGTTTGATGCCCTTCACTAAAACAAATGATCTACACACAGACAAAATAGAAATCAACAGGTACCATTGTATATACCTAACACATGACTTGAAATTCAACAGAGGCTACGAGGGCAAGTGCCCTACGCCCTTAAATTTTCACTACACAGTTTCAATGAGGCATTTTCAACATGCCTTGAAAATAAGTGACCTAGCATTTTCATAAGTTCAAGCCCTGCAAATACATAAAAGAATGAGCACGAAAAAATGCCAGACAACATCCCTTGATGCATGTTCATCAACCAAAGTCAAGTGCATACGGAATGGAATGATATTATATCATAGGGGTCAGGAGAAGCCATCAAATGACAACTTTTATGAAACACCCTCAGTAAACAAGAAACTAAAGAGTAAACCATTGAATAAAGGGGGGTGGGGCAGCGTGGATCAAACAGCTTTTTGTAGCTCCAATTGTGCTTATACATTCAAGGGAACCCCTGCCAATTCCGTTTCCACACATGGTTCATCCCTAAACTAAATGTACCAACTAATTAAATAGGGGCATACTGTAAAGGCATTAATTACTCACCAGGTTTTAATTTCGCTGTTTTCGCAGATAAGTGAAATTTGCTAAATTAAATCAGAATTCATTGTTTCTCTACCAAATTCATAAACTTAAAAATTAAGTAAAAAATCTCAAACATCAAAATAGAGAATTAAGTCTTTTCAAATTTAATGCTGCTTGAGTAATTTACCTACCTGTCTGTTCATTAGCATTTTACCATCAGAAATTATTCTTTCATCCCAGGGCTGCTGAAAGTCATTCTCTGGTATTTCCTGAATTTGGGTACTTTGTTTTCTAACTGCCACATTGTCCAGTCTAGCATACATGGAGTGTCTGTGAATACCTGTCGGTGGTAACCCTGCTGGCATCTGCTTTTGCTTCCCAGGTTTACTGTTTGATGCAGTGCCATGTGCAGTTTGGGGTATTTCCGCTCTATGTTGCATGTTGTTATTCGAGCTCTGCGTGCTACTCTGGGAATCATACGATCCAGCATAGGCATGGAAGCCCAGACTAGATGTAGGTCGCGGAATGTTCTTGGGATCTGCACATACCCGTGGTGTCAGACGTGATGCCACATCATCGTTTTTCGGCGACGAGTCTGATGACATCGGCGACTTGCTTGATGTCGATGACATAGAGAAGGGAATATCCGAATGCTGGTGCATCACATCAGCTCTTACAATCAATTTGTTCGGGGCACTAACATCTTGTCTGTACATTTGACCGTTTTTACCGATGTCAACGACCATTACTCTTTCCCCATTTCCCGATCCGTTCATTCCTTCTGTGCAGTATCCAATCCCGCTATCGCTATTACTGCTATTACTGTTGCTTCTTCTGGCAACCAATGGGAATTCTCCACCCATGTACACCTGGGCACGTTGTAACTCATTTACATACAGCCCATTATGCCTATCTTGGTATAGTTTAGCAAGGGTTTGTAAAATTGGTTTCGCTGACCGTGGAAATTCTGCACAACCATTTGTCTCTGGATCAACGGTACACGGTACACCAAATTTTGCAGCTTTTTTAGCATGGATGTGATGTGCGCAGATTTCAGGATCGACCATGAACACATGGCATGAGCTTCCACTTTCAACATTTGATGACATCATGTCATGATCTCCCTCAAGGCCGTGCATGGTCACAAGACCAAAAAATCGTTTATCATCGGGGCAAACCCCGCTGAAGGCTAACTTGTCAGCAGGGTATACCACCACTGTAACACCATTGGCAGTGACCAATCGTACATCTGTGATAGTGATTTCCATCAGTACCAGGGTGTGGATGCGTTGTTCGATTCTCAGTCTTCTAACACAACCACGAATTGCTTGTAAACTAGCGTCTTTGAGGTTAGCTTCAGAGGGAATTTCTATTGATCCCAAATAACCAACAACTGCTCGCATATACAAATCATCCTCATCCAGTACTTGATCATTGTCCAATGGGACTGCAGCACTCACATGTGGCTGCAACGAAGGGTAAAGAATGCTAGAAACTTCCAAAGGTGAAAGTGGTCGGTTCATGCCTGCAGGATCAGGAGTTGATATGTAACGCCCCATTTCAAAATGCTGCTGTTGTTGTTGTTGTTGTTGATGATGTTGAACATGATATTGTTGTTGCTTGGTAATGTGTCTATCAGATTTCTTTTGCTTATTTTTCTTTAATTTTCCACTGGGCTGTTCATCAAAGTCATTTCCATTCCACACAGTTCGTTCATACATTTTTGTTGGTTTCTTTAGAAATATTTCAAGTTTTCTACCAGACGTATTAAATGGACTAAGATGCCCTGGAGCAAATTTTGAATTCAGTTCACCTATATCCTCATCATCATCTTCCTCCTCCTCATCAACAGCTTCTGAAGATATCGGACAACTTCCAAACAAAGTGCCTCGGAACAAATCTTCTACGACTTTATCAACCCGACTTGCGTTATTATGATCATTGGTGGGAGTGGGTGGTGTCCGTGATTTTATCCTCGGATGGGACCTCGGTCGCGGTCGACTGGCGACGTACTGGTCGTCAGATGAGTCGCTATCAAGGCGTGGTTTTTCAGCGATTGTCAGTCTCATTACGCCGGTAGATGTCCCGATAAACTTCACCACCTGCTCATGCGACAATTTCGCAACGTTTTCTCCGTTCACAGCCATGACAAAGTCGCCGGATTTCAACCCCGCGAATTCTGCGGGGCTACCACTAATTATGCAACTCAAAACACACGGCGACTGTCCAGACAGAGTGAAGCCATACCCTGTTCGCCCTCTCGCAACTTCGACAGTTTTCAAGTTCGACATTATCTGGCGTTTCTTTTTACGCCTTGGTTGATGCATCTTGACTTGTGCACTCTCCGGTTCATATAACCAATATTCCCCAGTGCCAAGACAGGTGGAAATTCACAATAATAAAAGTTTGTCCTCAGATGTAACGTGAGTCGTTAGCGGTGTTCACAACAGCAGGTCATCGGCGATTCGAGGTATGACATGCCCATAATCATTCACAAAACGTTCTTGGAAACCACACCAGACTAACTAATAACAAGTATATTCCATTATGAATTCGCGATCTCCGTCAACAACAACCCCACGTTAACGTCATCACAGTGAACCGCGACTTCAAAAATCACAACAACTCGCCTCCACACGATCGTGGCTGCTGTACTTACTCATAGTGGTATTACGGGGAGTTTTTCACACCTTAGATTGAGTTGGCGCCCAATATATTCCTAACACCGTCTTCAATTAACACTTATAATGTCCTGATAGTTACGATCACCGATTGTACCCAAATCGCCTCAGTTACCATAGAAAAACACTAACAAATTCCCGACGATTTCAAGCGAAATTTGAAGGCCAGATAAACATGGACGACAACGGTTGTGTCACGTGACCAACCGCTTGTAATTGATTGGGCAACGACTGAGGAATTTGTGGCTATTCAAATTGGGACGTGACACTATTGTCATGCAAAAACATTAAATAATGGAACGCAGGGGCGCAAACTATTCCAGCCATGGGGAGGAGAGTGATTTTACTTTAACGCGTGACAGAATACAGACTATTCACCTGGGGTGTCAGACACACGTGAAAGACTAATTACTTTTCATGACCACTTTCGGCTTACTTCAACGCCCAGTGCTTAGTGCGCCATCAGGGTCCATTTTGTTCTTACACCTCTACCAAGGAGCTAAAAGAGAGCCGCATGAATGGGCCAGCTTTTCAGTGCTGTGTACTGTAAAAAAAAAATGCATTTATCCCGGTATTTATTCATCATAAAGAAACAGAGTTAACAAGAAACATTGATCTTGTAACATGTCTCTTATTTGGCATTAGATGACTGTCAATCAATAAAAAAAAAACAAAAAAAACTGATATTCATGTATATACATTGTTACGTCAAAATTCAAGTTCATTTCGCCACACAATGTAGTTGAAGATCGATTATAAATTGTTCTCGAATGCGGGTCATAAGTTAACACGATGATCGTCGGTAGCAGCTGATACAGGTATTACGTAATATACTGCAGGTTTGTAATTAGCTGCAATTATCGTCAATTGCTAATCGCTAACTAAAATTGTTTTATTATTAAATTTGATCGTTTTGGGAAAACGGCTGACCTCTGTGATTTATATCACCATATAGTAAAAAAATGTTTTACAATTCGAGATGCATGCTCTTCCTTCAAGTTGACCAATTACTCGTCCTATATACCTTAATGTATTTACATTATAAGGCAGAATACGACCACATGAGGCGAAGGCGAGCAAGGTGTCGGCTCCGGTGTAATATGAGAAATCTATATTTAACTCAAACGCAATTTACAATATTTATAATGGGGTTGAAATTTGTCTCTGGAAATAAACATGGATATTTTTTCCAGTTGTGAAAAGTCTTGTAAGTATAGTTTAATAAGTCACTCGGGTAATCTGATTTGTCACTAATGTGGCGTGTTATTTTAATATTCGAGAGATACTCAGACACCAACCGAATTGACAATTCGATTTGATACAAGCGTTTACTCAATATTTGTCCCGACCGGCTACCAACGTTGACAATATTTTTTGGGAAGATGAAGTTTTCCTACCAAAGTTACCGTTGCGAATATATATTTTAGGTCAAAAATTTCACATATAAAACCCTGTTTCTGCCAAGCCACATGTTACAGTCTATGGCATAATGTGTACTATTATATCCGGAGTTAGTAAGAAAGCCTCATTTCAATCACAATGACACACTTTGTATGTACCCTCATCAATCAGTCGCATAACTTCGTAAGAACAATGCAAACGTGTGACCCGGATACAAACTATTTAGTTAATTAGTGAGTAGTAACAAGTTATCGAAGTCGACGTCCGGGGCTGGTAATATGTTAACATCTTGAGCGAGTTTGCAGGTCAATAAACCTTGAATGATGGCATGTGATCCATTGAAGGCGCAATGAACGTGGCAATCCAAACTCCTAACGAAGTAATTATTAGTACCCTCGCAAGGGTTGCAACTAGCACGGGCCACGATTAGCTAGGCCAGCGATTGTCATGTGCACACCTATTAGGCCTATATCGACATTCTACGCAAAGTTTGAAATAATGAATTACGTTCATGCACACGTTCTAGCACACCAACACCACGATGCGACTCATCAGACGGTTTATTCAAAACTTGAAACGCAGTCCTACTTTCATCGTAATATCATATAATGTGTCAAAAAATGATAAAATCTAAATCAATCATATCTATCTTAAAGGGCGGTAGTCGTTGCGCCGCGCATGCGCGAGATATGGGTCTCATATAAACAAAGATAGCAATTTTGACTGTTGTGCACACCAACGAGTACAAACTGAGACGTTACCAAGCTTTAATTAGGTATTTTTGTTGGTGCTTGGGAGGTATTGAAGGAGTCGCCGGCGGTAACTAGTGCAAGTAGCGCCAAGGGCAAAACTCGTACTTGTGATTTCATTAGAAAAGCGCATTGGATTCTGGGAAGATCGATGTTTCAAATGTCGTATGCGCGGCGCGACGACTGCCGCCCTTTAATAACAAATAATGAATTTCTACGTCATTGTCTGTCTATAATCGTAATGGGCATTCAAAATTAAACAAATTGTTTGATAAGATAAGTTTATTTCTTCATATAAATGAACTTTCGAATTGTAACGTGAAATAAACACGGTGGGTAATACGTGAACAAAATGTAATAATTCTGTGGAATGCGCCTACATAATACGGTTAAGTCTGCAGCTGTCGGTAGAGGGGGCAACATGACATGATCACGTGAGGACCATGACGTCAGCGTTCTGTCGTGACCCATACTCACCTTGATTTGGGGCGACAGTGCTCCGCATCCAGTTGAAAACTTGACCCAAACAAGATCGACGTTGGGGGCGCCTTTTTTCGTCAAAAAAATCTTATATTTGGTTGAAATGGCCGAAAATTTGAAAATTGGGGGTCAAAAGTTCGGCTCGACCGTGGAAATGCTTACCCGTATAATTCAATTACGGGAGTACCCCCCCCCCCGTTCCCATACAGAAATAATGCCTACCTTATACAACGTTATGTAAAAGTACTAGTATACTGTAGAACACGTTGAAATAGCTGCATGCAATTTTAGCGAATTTGACTCTTGGCATGAATTACCAGAATCCTAATTTAGCTAAAGTGTTGACTATCTCTCTGTGAGAATATACTTTCTTTTAAATTAGCTACATCTTGAATTAGCGAAATTGCAGATTAGCTAAATTAGCTAAAATAATATGCTAGCTAAAAAGATGATGTTTTACAGTATGCACGAGTGGACGCATACGTTTGATATATTTAACCGACATGCATTATATAAATTACAATACCTTGAGTTCGTTCCACGGATTGTGTTGGAATACATGTTTACACGTATTCAGGGTTTTGTTTTCATCGTTCACATAACAATTTACACAATTCGTAGGTTGACGACGTTACACTGCATGGTTAACTTGTGAATATTTATAAATAAAATTGAACATGACAAGTTTCGAAAACCTGGTAGATCGAAGATGTTGGCATTTGAGCTTGGAGTAGCGGGTTCAAATCCAGGAACGCAGTACCATAACTTCTATAAATATATGGACTAAAATTGACAAGAGGATCAACTTTCTATCTAGCGGGATGGCATTATGCGGAAAAAAGGGAAGCTGTTGTGTTGTTATAAATGTATTTATTGACACAACACTGACTTTGGAAAGTACAGCACTAAAAACTACAAGATATAATTTTAAAAAAGTGATTAACAATGCAAGATAACAAGATTCATTGACAATTAAACATATGGAAATACATTATATCTACAAATATACTCCTATTTATTTAAATGTAATGTGTAATAATTTGTGTCGTATTGATCTTTGTACTTCAAGGACTGATTAAAGAAATAAATTGACTTGACTTGACAGGTTAATGAAATTATTTATGTGTTTGGTCATGTCTGCAACTAGAGACTTTCTTTGTTGTTCGTACTTTAGACATGACATTACTACATGGAATTCATCTTGCATTACATAGTTCGCACGTTCTTTTTCAACTGGTGTTCGGTTTCGTGTGCTGGCCAGATTCTATTTTTAAATTGTGATTTTTAAATTTGCTTAGCCGTTCACGCAGTTCAATATGTTCAATGTCTGTTATGAATTGTTCAAATTCAAATTTATTTTTAAAGTTTCTGTATGTTCTTAATTTTTTTCCCAATTGAGTGTTTATGGCCGTTGTAAATATACTCTATCCAGTGTGATATGAAGAATTCTTCAAGTTGATTTTTTATTTAATTTACTATTTTACGTTGGAAATTTTTGAATCAGTGTTTGATCTATTTTTGTTAGCTGGGTTTTTACTTCAACGAACCATTTGTTTTTTATTTGTCTATTCACTTGTGCGGCTTCTTTGAGTAGTAAGTTTTCTGTAGCTAATACACGACTGTAATATTTAATTTTTTTGTTTGTTTATGAATGTGTCCAGCGGTAATCTACCAAATTCCCAGTAATTATTGGTGTACACCTAGAAGATATCTGAGATAGCTAGTATGGTCCTCAAATGGCAAACTTGTGCGAGCATTCATGTCTCTAGGCATCACTGCCATAAGCTAGGATTGGCCAGATTTTATTTATCAAAAAGGGAAATTTGTGATTTTGGGAATGTACACCAATGCCACAAGAACTTTTCTTTTTAATATTTTTAGTATTACTGTATATCTGCGCTTCGAGCTGTCACTCTCTATATGGGAACATATACACCTTTCTTAGAAATCGCGCCCTCTAGTGGCGGAGCGGTTTTATGACGTAATTGAGCGTCACAAAGTCCGTTTAAAACGTCG